CCCCCCCCCACCAACTACCTCTGTTGCCAACCCTCTTGAGAGCATGTTCGTTTTACTCGGTAGTTACGGTACGTTTGTCTTGTCACACCACTTCTTCTTGTCTCAGAATCCACTCCGCGACTTTGATAAATTCGGCTTCGGATTTGGGGGGGGTGGGAGAGGGTTGGGCGGGGGGGTGAGGGGGGTGGGGGGGGGGATGATGACGACATTGGTACACAGACACACCGAACAATATCTCCACAAGAGCCGTTTTACTCGGTATTTACAGTACTTTCGTGATGGCGAACCCTCTTATATGATGATGGTTGATGATGGTGATGATGATGATGATGATGCATGATGAAGGATGATGATGGATGATGATGGATGATGATGGTCGATGATGGTCGATGATGATGGTGGATTGAATCGCCAGGTGGTTGGTAGGAGGGGGGGGTGGCTAGTAGTAGTAGTAGTAGTAGTAGTAGTCGTAGAAGTAGTAGTGGTGGTAGTAGTAGTAGTAGTAGCAGCAGTAGTAGTCGTCGTAGCAGCAGGAGCAGCAGGAGCAGCAGCAGCAGCAGCAGCAGCAGCAGCTCTTCACCATAATCACTATGGCAATCAGGACCTTACTCTCAACAGAAATAACAACAATCACACGGTGTGCTTCCCGCAGCCAAGAAGCGCAAAGCGATCTGCGAGTCCTTGCCAGGACACCTGCAGAAGCAGACATGCTGCGGGGGCAAGCAACTTAGAGAGAAACAAGGAGATTTGAGATACGGTTGGCGGAAAGCATATGGAAAGCATTGTAGAGGCTAAAGTCAAGGCTTCACAAAGCTGCCCGCTGCAGACTTCCCGGAGCATGAACTCTACAATCACCCTGCAACTGCGATGCTGACATTGCTGACGAGAGGCCTCAGGACGGGCATCAATGTGTATGGACACTGCATGCGTCGGACTCTGTTGTCCATCCTCATCATGGGCGTGGCACGTCTCAGCTTCTGCATGCTGCTGCCCGCGCTGACAGACAACTGAAGAAATGCAATCAGATTCAGGCATAGAAGTCCACCACATATCCTTCAGACAGGCATAAGGAGTCAGGAAACAATATTGCAGCAGTTAAGAATGCGAGAGCCTGCAAGACTCCAAGTTGCGGATGAGAATCGAACGTGCTCGCCACACCGATCTACGTGCCAGTCGTGGCGGTCAAACGGCAACGTCCGTCCAAAGAAGCTGGTCAGGCGGGCCTTGGACACCAAAGCAAGTCATGGAGTTCCTGAAAACTCTACCCGAAACCCCATCCTAATACTTTCGAGCTTCATCAACGCAGGCGATGGATAGCTACCGCGAGCTTCTCTGCTTCTTTGTGAGGAAACCGAGCCCAGCCTTGGGTGTCAGCTCTCCCGGCCGCCCGAGGAATCGAAGGAGCTTCGGTTCTGCACATTCCTCCAAGAGTTCTCTCTCAGTTACCGCGCTTACAAGGGTTTATAGTTTGAGGTTTAGGGCCCCAATTTGGGGAGCAAAGCAACCCCACATCCGTTTGATCACCCGTTGGGGCTCAGGAGTCCTTTCGGTGCAAGCCCTCGTACTTGAGGATCTCTTGCCAGGTCCGCTCGTTCACGGCATTGTGAATTGCGATGACCATGCTCATGTCCTGAATGGGGTCCGGGGAGGCACGATGAAAGGCTGAAAAGGCAGAAAAAAAGGCTCCTGTGAATCGAGCGTGTGGCCCTTCGCGGTTGCGGAAGCGAAAAACTGCTTCTCGGAAGGATACATAAATGGCCTGAGAAGCACCCCTCTGTGCTTGTTGAAACCACTGCGGTTGCTGAGGCTGCGAACGACCCATCGGCTGAAGGTATGGTGGACCTGTGAGCTAGTTAGACCCTTCACAAGCTTGGGACTGTTCAGGATCCTCGAAACATGCTTTCGCTCCACTGCGCCACTTGCAATTGAGGAGCACTTCTCGCTCGCTACTGAGCCCGCGCGACTTCTGGGAAGCCTGAGGCACTTGCAGGGCACCATCTGAGCTTTGCTGGGCAGTTTGCGGTCCCCTTTGCCTGACCCGTGGTTGAGGATGCCGACGACTGGCCAGAAGCATCCTGACGCGCCTCAGCGCCTCTGGGCCAAGCACCACAACTCGAGCATGTGGAACATTGTGACAGTCTACAGAGCCTACAGATGCACTGTTGCCTGCGGTTGCTGGCGCAGGCTTCGTCCTAGCTTCGGAAAGCTCAAGACGTCTCAGTATGTCTCAGTGACGCTAAGGCCACTAAGTGCAGCACCCGCCGAATCCGAGTGGGCAGCTGGACGCGGCCATTGCCGAATGAATTGAAGACTCAAGCAAAGCTGTCTAAAATTGCTAGATCTCGGCGGGGAGTGTGCCGTAGAACTCAGCTCACCCGGGCCTGGTCAGTATGGCCTTGTATCGGGCATGTCAAGCTTTGTCTTGGAAAGAGCCAATCTTTACTGGCACCGACTCAGAATAAAGGAAGGACCTTTTGCGGCATACCAGCTACCACGACTACAACCCATCGACGACCAAAGCTGCTCTGGAGGGCAGGAATCATCCTAGGATTTGCTGACCTTCAACTCTCAATGTAGACTTGAAGCCCGCGGCAAGTGCAGTGTTCCCCGCTCTTCATGAGCTCCTGCCCCTCATGTCACGGCTTACAACTCGGCCACGGACAATTGCAAGTTAAATCGAATCCCTGCATGGTACTGCCGCCGTGCACAGACACTATGGGAGGCTTACCAGGAAGCCAACTGCCCAAGACCGTCACTCAGAAGTTGTTTTACTGCGGAGAGTCTGCAGCATCGATCCCTTGTGTGTTGTCGGCATCTCCCAGTCTCCCTCCCGGAATGGATTCGTCGAGCACTGAGGCTTTCGATTTCGGGGGACGGCAACAGCTGCATCGACAACAGCTTCTTCCAAAGCAGCAGCAGGCAGACAGTATGGCACGCAAGCAACACATCATCACGATGTGCACCAGCGCAAAGTATCCCAGCAAGAGCAGCACATCGTTTTCATGAGTCGATACGGAATAGTGCCGACCAGCTGGCCTTTGTTCTTCAAACCTTTCAAGCAAAGGTACCAAGCTGTAGGTCACAGTATGGCCGGTTGCAGCCAAAGCTTTGTCGAAGTAGCTCCGGGCATGACTCCAATCAACATCGAAGGATCCCAGAGCTGAAATGATGGCTTCGGAGGCATTTGCCACTGGAGTTGGTAGCTTTACGTGTCCGGCAATCTCGATCAAGCTCTCAGCTGCTTGAGACCTCAGCTCGACAACCACACCCGGGACACAGCCTCTTGCTGCATTCGCCACAAGCTCCAAAGCTGCTTGTGCCAAGGATAGGGTGGATGAAAGCGACTCCCTGGCAGTCTCGACGGTAACAAGGGGCGGGACCATGCCTTGATCGACACGTTGAAGCCACTGCTGCGTGGAGCGTGGGGAGCCAAGCCGGACTGTCCAATCAGACACGCCCTCCTGGTGCAGACGCTGCGCGTTGCGTAGCAGCCATGCAGACACTTCTGCCGTGCTGGCTTCCAGATTGGTTGTGTCCAAATCCCTGAGACCCCTGGGCCATCTCAGGAGGTTACATGCACCTGGGTGAGACACTTCGGCAACGTAGCAGCACGTTCTCACTTCTGCAACGCGACGCAGCTCTAATGTCTCCCCGCAAACAAACTCAACAGCGACAGATCGCGCCACATGTCCGCAGGAAGCACCTCCCGCAAATATCAGGGTGTTTTCTGATGGCTCGAAGAACAGTTCCCGTAGTCCGTATCGTTTTGGATCACTACCAGGAAGCATGAAGCCTGCGGGTCGTCCGAGAACGATTGGATCTGATGCTGCAGCTTGGGCTTCTGAGCATTTGCCGGACTCATCGCACATGGCCGCCATTTCTACATCCGACTTGAGCTCCGCTTGCGTGGCATTCCGATAGAAGCAAATGCCGTACACGAAAGTACGCCATTGCTCGCGCAGCGCCGTGGTCCCAACATACTGAGTTTGTGTCAGGTTCACGCATACCTGGACTAGGGACCCTAAGATGGACCGTAAAACGAATGATCCTTGCTCTAAGAAATCCGAGACCCAACAGTAGGATCCTCACCATGCCCCAACTACGGCACCCCTTCTTCTCTGATACCTCCCAGACCTCTAAAACTGCTACAAAGCCCTTGATCCTCCCCCACCTCATGTAGGTCATGGTAGACTCCAGATGGACCGAGTTGGCCGGACTCAACCAAGTTCATCATGTGAGAGTCGGACTCCGCTTCCTGGGATCTTTTCAAGAACCACAGCTAAGTTCCGATAGTAGGTACAAAACGCATTCAAAACGTGGTACCGCTCTAATGGTAGCTCGTATTTGACGTTAGGTTCCTTAAGAGTAATCATAATAATCATAACCATAATCTTAAGCATAATAAAAACAATAATAATGATAATAATGATAATAATAATAATGATAATAATAATACCAATAATAGGAACCCAGATTCTGCAAGGGCCTCCAAGGTCTCGGCTGCCTTTCGGTGTATTCGTTGCAGTCTCTGTCGAAGCTCGAGCCACTTGAAGTCAAGCTGTGTCCACTTCTCGCTCGGGATGACGTGTTCTATGGCAGATGCTTCCACAGCACCTGCTTGGGCCTTGCCATAAGCCGCCATCATTTTCTCGTACTTCAATGCATCCGGGTTGTATTCAAAGAACATCCACGGCTCGCCACCAGCATCCAGTGCACAGGTCCCATTGAATCGGCGGGAGTCACTGCAGAGGTAAGCACAGACAAATGGGCACTCTGCCGGAGCAATGCAAGACACGTTGGCCGGGAAATCCTCGTAGTTGGATTCTCCGGCGAAACATCGCAATGTTGCCCGTCCAGGGCCGTCAACGATCTCAGAAAGATTGAGCGGTTTGCCCTTTTTCCCGCTTTGCTTCTCTTTCTGGCTCTTGCGGGCAACTTCACCCAACTTGTCTTTGATCTTCTGACTAGCTTCCAAAAAAGGTGCAGCAGCTGCCTGGGCACGCTTCAGAGTCTGCTTTGTCAATGCTACCTTCTCCGAAAGCACTCGCAAGACCTCTTCCTTCAAAGTCGTTCCCCTGCGCTCGAGGGCCAACATACTCGCAATTCTGGAAGACATGTCTGACAGCTCCTGCTGGCAGCTGTTGCTACACACCATCGTGGTCTCATCAGACCCATCACAACAGTCACAAACTCCATCATTGACAAAGGAGCTGTCGATCAGTCGCGGAATGCCACCAGAATTCAGACATGAGAAGATGTTGTGCGGGCAGGCCGCTGTGAGATTCTCGTCCGAGCCGTCTAGGCAGTCGCAGTAGTCGTCGTTGATCGAAAGGTCTGGAAAATGCGCTTGCACGGGTGCCGCATCTGTCCAGCTGCGGATCTCACATGAAAACCCAATGTGGCCGTCGCCACCTTCTGACATGGCCCCGGCACCAGAACCCGCTTGCTGCACGCAAGGTTGCAATGTGTAGCAATGTGTTTCTGTGTCTTTGCCCGCTCTGCCTGCGAAATAGAGTGTTATATCACCACAACACTGCAACGGCAACGACTGTCTGTGCTTGGTTTGAGGCTGTCCCCCCTTTTTGTGATGTTGACCGGTTCGACGCATCATGAAGGTCCGAACTTGGCTCTTTATTCAGTTCGTGATTGCGACACTTGGCTCTGAGACCATGCATGTTGTGGCTTTGCTGACCACGTCAAGACACAGACCTTGGAGCGGTCGCTGCGGAGAAGGGGAGCAGAAGTTATGAAAATTATGAAACAAGAGCAAGCTCAGGAACACCCAGGTGTCCATGGGCGTGGCCTTTTTGATTTCACCATTGGTCATTGCTTCTGATGCAAGCTATGGAAGGCTCCCAGGAAGTCATCGTTGTCAGCAAGATCTCCGATCCGATGCGCAACCGTCTCAGCCAGTGAATCCTCCCCTGACCAGGAAAGCTTGAAAACGTACTATACTATACTATGCTATACTCGCTTGTGGTTTAGGATAACACAGGTATGATATAGTACAATATCCTAGAATACAAGTATGGGAGACCATAGCATAACAGAGCAAGTGGCCAGAAGGGTACAGGAATGCACGTAGAATCTTCAGAGCCCAAGGTCCTTGCAAGGTTTCCCCCACTTGGCTTCTGGTTGCAGTGGAAATACTACATAAATATACACTCCTATACTTTACCATACCTCAATATATGATCTTAGAACCAAGTATGTAAAGCATATTATAGCATGATGTACTAGAGTTTAACATATCACACAGTATTGCAATAATGCAGTTTAGTATGAAAATCGCACAATGTAATATTGTAGTAGAACATCTAGTAACCAAAACAATGCTTCTTACACTGGATCCTGAGGCCGCAGCCATCTATCCTCTCGGACTCGAGCAGGCCAGGACTTCCAGATTTGAGAGCATCCTCCCAGGCACAAGGAGGCCCACTACTGGACCTGTAGAACTCGGTGGCTCTCGGCTCGTATCTACAGGTTCTTATGTGCTTTTCTTTATACGTCCAGACTCGTAAACGCTACGGACGATTTTGGAGAATCCAAGGCCCAGTTGTCACTCTTCCATCTTCCCTGCCAGCGTCTGAAGACGCTTGAAAACTTCCAAGTCCCAGGATCATGCGGTGATACAGGATACAGCCGTGCAGTACACAAATCTCTTGTAGGATCGCAACGAAAGAAACAACGCCACAACTGCCGTTGTCCGTGGCAGAATCTGCTCAGACTTGACAAGACTATGTTTTACAATTTTGCAACGAATGACCAGGGCCTGTGGTCAGTCGAAACCTGGCCAACTTCAGCATCAGAGTTTAGAGGATTCTTGTCGAAGGCGCCCCGAGTCTCAGTAAGTTGCTCGTAGGTCGGGGACTCGAAACACTTCGTGCATCTTCATCCTGGCCTCAGCATCTTCTCTAGATGGTGGGCGCTCTTCTTGATCGGAGCTGACTACCTGTTCATGTCGGAAAGCAGAGGAGCTGCATCGAACAGGGGATTACTACACATCAAGGCACAAGATCACTGAGACGCGCCTTCGACAGCCAAGAGAATGCTGAGGTGGCCTCCACACCAGACTTCTCCGCTTAGAAGGGGGTGATAGAAATCAGGACGGCGATTGAAGTGAACACCATAACATGAATATAACATATAGAGTGTGTATATATATATATGTGTAGATGTCTCTCTCTATATATATGTATACATATATATATATATAACATACATGTAACCACACGTATATATAAATATAAAGTACATACACACATACACAAATACCTACCTACCTACCTACCTACCTACCTACCTACGTACGTACGTACGTACGTACGTACGTACGTACGCACATACATACACACACACACACATATTTGTATATATATATATATACATATACATATATAGCTATTGATCTAAATTGCCTCATCCCGAAATGACCTTCTTCGCGGAAAAACAAGTGACGTCCGTAACATCATCGCAGAACTTTCGCGGAGGCATTTTTACATACCTTTGCAAGTCAGAACCCTGAAATATGCTACAAGCTCCTCGATGGCAAGAGTTTACGGGCAATTATACTTAAGAGCTTCTGGCAGGCTTCCTAGGGGTTTCAGGGCTGCGTGAAATCTACAATAGTTGGGAAGGGCTGGTTAAGGCCGTCTTAAGGGTTGGATTTTTAACGAAGCCGTCTTAGGGTTGAGATTCTTGACAAAGTTTCCTGAAAGTTTCTCGATCGTAAAGCTTTTGGGGGCAAAATTGATTGAGAGTTTCTGGAAGCCTTCCTAAGAGGTGTCTCTTTCGCCAACCAGTTGCGAAATGCACAAACAATGTCCATTGGGGGGGTGGCCTTGATCTGGCAGCGTCGACTTTGACTCACTGACAACAATATTAGCAACAGTAATTTAGCAATAACAGCAGTAGTAGTCATAGTCATAGTACTAGGACGAGTACTAGTACTAGTAACAGCAATAGCAATATTACGGCAAGGTAGGCTAAACAGATAACTTTCGCAAAAAACAAGTAACATTAGTGGCAGCATCGCGGAACTTTCGCGAAGGCAAATTTAGCAGTGCAATTGGCTTTTCACACAAATTATGGCTCAACGAGCTTTGGATCAACTACTGTACATACTCGCTCAGCCCCAACTTGGCCAGCCTGCACTGGAGCCAGAAGGAGGATTGCGAAGCGCCAGAAGAACATTAGGATACCTCAGCTCTTGAAGTCACCAAGGCAAGCCTGCAGGCAACAAATGCAACACTAGTCCCCGGATGTCCTTAGGTATGTCAAGGACCACAGCCGAGTTCACGGCCGGAAGCAGGGCGGTGGGCAGTCGCCGCATGACTTGAAAGGCTTGTCGCAACCAACCGGAGCGAGGACACACTTGACAGAGCTCAACAGGTGTCAGTGCAGGAAACAGCCCTCATTCCTGGAGTTATGCAGCAAAGGCTTTTCTTGCAATGGTTGCACGTGAGATCTCGCAAGATCTCCGTGTAGGCTAAGCAGTACGTGCATCCGCAGCACCGGCTGAGACGGGCTCTGGCGCGAATTCGTCCTAAAGTCCTAAAGCTGGCGGTCACCGGATAGTGCGGCCGAGAGGAAGCGAGAAGGACAGGCTCGACCCAGACCTTCCAGCTCTCAAGCTCGACACTGGAAAACTGGGGCTGTCTTGCGGCTTTCGCGTCTTGAGTGCCCCTATGAAAACAAGTGGCGCTGAGAAGGGGACCTTGATTTTGTGCTTGGAAACACGTTCCAAAAGCGAAGCGTTTCATCCCCTGCACCAGTCACCTCATCCATTTTGGGATCGGCACTACACAGCGACTCTCCAGCTCGAGCGCGCTCATCCTCGGCCTGAGGCCTGGACTACTGTCTGACCATCGGGCGAGATAGCGAGGTAGAGGACCTAGAACTCAAGATGAGCTTCGATGGGAAAACGTCAGGAATCAAAGTGCCCAGGAAACTCATATGGCCAGGGTTTAGAGTTCTGTCCCAAGCAGCCCTGTAGGTGTGCCCGGTGAGAGTCGCAACCTGTCATAGGTTCAAGCTCAACAGAGGATACCTGCCACTCGGAAGCTCTCACACTCCCGAGCCTTGGTCATGGAAGGGTACTTCCACAGGATGATCCTTTCATCAAGGAGCAACTACGGACACGGAGCCACCGGTAGTCTTGCTCTGGAACCGAAACATATCGCAGACAGTCTGGCACATAGGTCTTGGGCACGAGCTGATTGAGAGAGTAGCCATGAGTGCTCACAATCTCGTTCAGATTCTTGGACCAGACGAGGTTACACACCTCTGACGGCCAAGGACACAGAGTCAGTCTTTGGAGTGCATAAGCCATGTAGTGCTTCTGTGGCAAGTGCCTGAGAACCGGTGTCAATGCACGACAAAGGCATGTTGTTGACGGTGTTCCAGAAACGGATGCACCTGGCATGGAATGAGCTGTTGTCACATGGTCTGGCCCAGTTCAGCGCAAACTGCTCGCTACAGAGCCCTAGATCCGCCCAGCATCCAATCACAAGAAGACGCTTCATAAGCTCACATCAGGTCAGACATGCACAACCCTGCTCGAAGCAGCGGTTTGGGGTGTGATGTGGGGTGCCCAATGTAAGGTTGGGACCCATGACTTGAGAAATAGTATGCTAAAAGAGAGCCCAAATGGATGCTGAATCCGCTCCCTCTCAACCTGAACCCTCCAAAGCTGCAACAGATTTCCTGATGGTGCTCCTGTTTCTACACTGATGCCGGAGTGCCTGTCTGCCGTCCCGCCTCCAGAGGCCAGCAACCCGTGCCTGAGGCCATCGGTCTGAAGCAACGGCCATGTTTTGGAAAGCGTCTGAGGCGTGCGCTGGTGCGGGGACCACGCAATTGCCTCGAGCACAATTCCCGCTCCCCACCTCCACCTTTGACCGGTGCCCGCCCAAAAAAAACTAGGCCCACAGGGCCTTCACGGCTGCTTGGTGGCGATTAAACTTCAGCACCGGCTCGGTGGATTTCAACGACCAAACCTTGGAATCGCCAGCAGGCGGACCCTCATCCAGCGCGACTTGCAACTTCTGAGATCTTCTGAGGGTCGCAGCGCAGAGCTTGTTGTCATTCCCCCCGGAGGCCAGCTGTTGCTCGTCGAAGGACCACTTTAAGCCGCAAACCTGGCCCGCGACGCCCACGATGCCCACGACCACAGCGACACCCGCAGCTAGAAACCTTCCAACCGGACTCGACTCGTGACTTAGGTTTTGAGCCTCCTGTCGATGGCCATGAAGCTTGGACCTCGCTCCAACACGTAGCTCAAGATTTTCAAGTGTTGTATCTTGATGGTAAGGCCGGCTCATGAAGGGTGCTGGTTGGCGGACGTCTCGGTGAAGGATGTGATGATCCCTGCTCCCCGTGGACCTCAACAAAATTGACCCCGTTGCTAAGTCTGAGTAACTTCCGACTCTGTGGCAGGTAGGGATCTCACAGAACGAAACCATTCCATGCCATTGTGCCAACTCTGCCCAGATGTCCACTCCTGGGCTTCGGCGAAAGGGAAGAGTTCCCTTCGGACTAATACTGGACTTTCGGAAGACCTGAATAAAACGTTGGGGCTGGGACATTGTTCGCATTTTGCGACATTGCGTGGAGTCCCAAATCTGGACCTCGCCCTTGTTCGTTCCGACCTCGCCATGCGCCCGTTTCTCGATGCTCGAGCCACTGGAGCTTGAGAACCACGCGGCGAGGTGAGCCCCCCTCTGGGTCCATGAGACCGAGGTCACGGTGTCATCCGGCCCCAAATCACAAAGCTTGGTGACCTGAGGATTTGAAGTTTCGCGGCAGACCAAGCAGGAGCCAGCAACCCTTTTGAAACTGTACACTTATCATTACTCTCCAACAGCAGGCTAGGTGTCTCGGGTCTTGATTCCTCTATGGCACGACCATGGCAATTGTCCGCCTTCCCAGCTGGGTGTTTCGGTATGATCTCGGAAGGCTGCAGACAAGCTCCATAGAGCAGCTTCGCATCTCTCTGTACTGGGAGAATGCCTACGTTCAGGATTGTTGCGGCCGTAACCTGAACCACCCTTGCTTTTAAACTCGGCATTCTATACCTGGGAGTACGCATATCCTTTCATGCGAATGCTGCCCTGGCATACTAAGGTCTTGCTTCAATGACCACACACCCTTCCCCAGATCAAACCTTCAGAAGCATCCGCCAAACGCAAACACTAAACTGGCCCTATTGGATATTAAACAAACACAGAGAGAGAGAGAGAGGGAGGTGTTTTTTTGATCTGAGATCCAGGCACGACTGGTGCAGGCGCTCCAAAGGTACACGCAGTTGCTTAGACCTGAAGGGGACGAGAGAGCGAGAGAGAGAGAGAGAGAGAGAGAGAGAGAGAGAGAGAGAGGGAGTGAGTGAGTGAGTGAGTGAGTGAGAGAG